GGTGAACAAATTCGCTGGCCTGGTTGCCCCCACAATGGGGGATGGGGGGGGGCAGCCCGACGCAGGGGCTGTCTAGGGGGCCGCGGAGGGCCCACGGGCTGACAATTCAAAGCAGGGGGGTGACAATTCGGAGCCGCAGGGGCCGAAGGGACCTGGCCGACGGAGGCTCCTGCGCCTCCTCTGCTGCTGCCTCTGTTCCTCCTCCTCCCCCTCCGCCTCCTCTTCCTCCCCCCATCCTCCGTTCCTCCCCCCTGCACTATCCTCCTCCGTCTCCTCCTCCTCCTCCTCTTCCCTTCCCTCCTCCATCATGCAGCTGCGAAAGTACAGCGCCGACGCTGTGTCTGCAGCGCCGCGGGTGGACAAGCGACCGCAGAGGGGGGGGACGAATAGAACATCAGTTTGAGCGCGACGGCAGAGCAATTGCAGGGGGAGGGCAGACGAAAAAAAGTACCCCTAACCCTGTGGAACGGGGCTTAAGTTAGGAGGGCCAACAACAGTAGAGATAGTAAGCGGTGATTTGTTGCCCCTGGGGGACCTCAACTGGGCCCCGTGGCCAGCGAAGACTTGTCGGGATGCCCCAAAAAAGCCGGAGCCCAGGCACAGGTTGCAGACCGCGCGGGGTGCACGATGTGAAACAAAACATGTCGGAGGTCTGGCGAGGCCGAAGTCCAGATGGAGGCCCGCCAGATGGATTATTTGGGGGCAGTTCCTGGGAGGCCTCCGTGGGAAAGTGAAGGAGCATTGAGCCCGACTGGAGCTCAAGTTTGTTTGAAACCACACAACGCGCGATATGTGGCTGGGTGGGCGGATGGGTCCGCTGGAACATAACACAACACGTTGCGCGCACTACGAGCAGCATACCTTCGCGCCAAACAACAGGCGCTGGTGCAACGGGGATGGGTCAAGCGGAGGGCGTCATGTTGTCTACTGGGTCGGCGGGTGGGTTGGAGGCAACATAACGCTCGTTACGTGCTCGAGTTTCAAAAACACTTCAACTTCTGCGGGCTGCTGAGCCTGGGTGAACCACTTGAACCCAAGATTGGGAGCCATGTTCGACGGACTGGCATTGGAGTGGGCTGGTGTTCGACCACGGATATCCCAGGGCCGATGCTGAAATCATCCTCTCAAGGGTGTTGCACCACAGAGGCCGCTCCAACCAGGCATGCGAGGGTGCCCAGGGGCACATCAACAAATAGACACATGTCCCAGGATGTCTGTATATGTTGCTATCTTTTCTGGATTTTCGTCTTCCCCCCCACTCCCCATCTTTTCCCATATTTTCGTGGGAGTCTGCGCTTAAGTGTGTCTGTGTGTCTCTACCTCCTGGACATGTCCCGACCGAGCTCAGCGCCGCCCCCGTCGGGGCGCCGAGTCTCCAGCTGGAGGAGGCCCTCCCGCTGGAGCCCCCTTGGCTCCGACTGCTCCTGCAGCAACCGCACTGAGCGTCGCCCAGCTGGAGGCAAAACCCAGCGGTTGCCCCGACCAGACTAGCTGTAGGTCGGACATGTCCGCCTACAGCCTACAGGCGGATCTTGGACGAAAAAACAAAACATAGTCAAAACATATTCCGAAATTGTCAAAACTAGTCAAGAAATCGTCCCAGACTATTTTCTGACTATTGTTGAATATTCCTCCTGTAGAGGGACAGGCCCAACTTAAGACTAGCTCCAACCGGACTTCGCGCCACCCGTGGTGGAACAGAATAATACAGCGGAGGCCAGTCCACAAGAAGCCCTCCCCAAGAAACCCAACCCTGAGACCCCAGGACCTCCATTTTTTTTTTTTTTGGTGTGGAAGCGTCGCGCTTTCCACGGCAAAACCATCGACGCCCAAGAAACCCAGGGCACCCTGGGGACAAGCAAGGTGCTTCTTGGCATGGACCCCCACTGCTGGAGGGTTCCAAAAGGGGTTTGGGGGGATTTTTTTTTCCAGAGAGCCCCTCAGGGGCCTCGGAACCTCGTCCAAACAGGGGGTGCGCAGCCCCTGGAGGACCCCTCCTGGAAAACCCCCTCCCCGAAAACCCACTTCGGAACCCTCCGGCACTGTACCGGCACCGCTCCTCCCGGGACCTCTTCTGGGGCGCGCTCTGACCAGAAAGCGTCGGGGCGACTCCAGCCGTGGCGACGAGGGCTCCCCAGGACGAGCAGCGGCATCGGCGTCTGCTCCTCTCCTGAGACGTAGGCTTGAGTCGGACATGTCCTCCTACAGGCAGATTGTGGACGAAAAAGTGATCACGTGATCACTAGCCCAAAAGATGCAACAAATTAAAAAATTGAAAAGTCGTCCCCTGACTATCTTGTCGACTATTTTTGAATTTCCCTCCTGTTGAGGGACGTAAGCGACTTGACCGTAGGCCAGAGAGCCTGCCGCGGGCTCTGTCCCAGTCGCCGCGCCGGCAGCCAGGAAGGCCGCGGCGTCCATATGCAGTCGCGCGGAGTCGCGGGGAGCGCGCTCCTCTCACGGGCGCACCGCAGCTGTCCCTGTCGCGGCCGAAACGGCTGCGGAGGCAGGAGGAGTGGATGGAGCGGCGCTCGGGACCTAGAAATGATCGCGTCGAAAAAAAAATCAGCACGGCAAATGATTCGTTATGTTCGGCCCCTGGGGGCCCTCGCGGGGCCCCGACCGTCAAAAAACTATTCAAATGAAAACTCGGCCCAGGGTAAAGGGTCTGCACTTCCGCGGAAGCCGTGCTGAAAAAATGAGGACATGGCATGTCTGGGAATGGAGCGGCGCTCGGGAGCGAACCCGGAAGCGGCGGCGGCGGGCGCCCGAGGAGCGAGTCCGAACGCAGCGGCGAGGGCGCAGAAGCATGAAAGGACAGAGTGCAGCTTCATTCTCAGAGAGTCCATGCATCCTCCTCCTTCCGCCCCTCGCCATCAATCTCGTCATTGTCCCATTCCGATGTGCCAGATCGACAAGGGCAATGTCCACCCACGGGTACGTATCCGATACTCGTAAGGAGAAGCGCAAGATCACAAAAAGGGTGATTAGGATAACGGCGAAACCGTTGCCCTAAAATCACCCCCTTTTCCGTGTTCCTGCTCTTCCCAGATGCCTTCTTATCCAACTCGTGCGCGTCTGCCGCTGCAATTCCTGGTTATCTTGCTGTTCGTACTCATGCTATGAGTTGTGCTCGAGCGGGTGCCACTGCTCACTATACTTATCCCTTTCGTTATCGTCACGGTCTGGATAATCTTTCTCATCATGATGATGCTCCTCTTCAGCCTCCTCTTCGATAACTATGCTTTGATCATTTCATTTAGGGAGAAGAAGAAGAAGCGGATGAGAGATCGGGGCGCAACCGGCCGACAGCCGTCCCACGCGTCAGTGCGCTCAGCGCGAAGTCCAAGAGCGGTGAACTTCCTGCTGCAGCGAGGCGGATCGCCGCCACGGCCGTGCATGAGATGAGAACGCAACTCAGATCCCAAAGAGTCTGTGTTGGCGCGAGTCTGTCAGAGAAGGCGGAAAGAGGGCAAGAAGAAAGGAAGAAAGAAGCAACATACACCAACCGATGTCATCGTTCCGCGTTCCCGCGGTGTCCCGTGGTGTCCCGTTGAGTGAGATCGATAGTGAGATCGATACTGAGATCGATGTGGTGCCCCGAGGTGTCCCGAGGTGTCCCGTGGTGCCCCAAACAGTGAAATCGATAGTGAGATCGACAAGTGTCCCGTGGTGTCCCGTTGAGTGAGATCGATAGTGAGATCGATTGAGTCAGATGTTGGTTCCCCCCCTCTCCCCCCCACACAACCTCCTTATCACCCGAAGGGTGGTCGTATAGGTATGTGATTGTTATTGTTGTTGTTGCTGTTACTATTGCTGTTGTGGTTGGAGTGGTTGTTGTTGTTGATGATGTTGTTGCTGTTATTGTGTTTGTTGTTGTTGGTGTTGTTATTGTTGTTGTTGGGAGGGCGCTTCGGCGGCCCCCCAAAACGCCTGAGCGCGAACCTAATTTTCAAAGGAAATGCAGCCGGCGCCGAGGCGAGAGCGCCGGGGCGGATGTGGGGTGTCCAACTCTAAACAGTCTCTAAACAATGAATCTTCAACGGAGACGAAGGAATCCTCAGGGCCTCTGGCAGTCTTGAATAAAAGCGGAGAGAATATCGAGTGGCAGCGTCGTTGTTTTAGGCGTCGTTGTATGCAAGGGGGGGCCATCTGCGGCGCCGATGCGGGAACGCCCGTCCTGGGTAAAAGACAATGAAGTATCGAGCGGGATCGAGCGGGAACGCGGGCTTTGTTGGAAAGCCGGCTTAAGGCGGCGAGCAAGAGCCCCGGTCCTGAGTAGACGAAGAAGAAGTATCGAGCGGGACCGTTGTTGTTGTTGTAAAGAGAGTGCTTCGGCGGTCCCCTCAAACGCCCGAGCGCGAGCCTTGTTTTCAAAGGAAATGCAGTTGGCGCCGAGGCGAGAGCGCCAGAGCGGGTGGATGGTGTCCAACGTAAAGGATCTTTTCGAAATAAAAACTAAACAGCAACAATCACTTTAACACTGTTCACTGTATATCCAAAACCCTCGATACCCGCCCACTTCGTCTTGGATCGTACCCCCCTTGGGGGTACGTCGCCCCTGTCTGCCGCGTGTAGTTGGCGCAGCCCCTAAAACATGGGAAAGAAGGGAGTAAGAGGAGGGTTAGGATTAGGTCGGGTATATCCCCCTACATGCCTATTTTGGACGAAAAATAAAAGATAACCCAAACAGATTCGAAAATGATCAGGAAATGCTTGAAAAAATCGTCCCCAAGTTATTTGTCTACTATTTTTGAATGTTCTTCCTGTAGCGGGACCTGCCCGATGTAAGTTTCGGAGCAGGAGCGCAGGAAGCACAACCGGACGGAGGGGTCGCGCGGGCGGGCCCCAACAGGCAGGTCGGGCGGGCGGGCCCGGACGGTCAGATCGAGCGGGCGGGTCGCTGAAGCGCGCCAATCCAACAGGGATCGCAAGGGACGCTTCGAGGCACATCGCGATTCTGGGGTAAAACGCGAGGGTATCCAGCAGCAGGACGATAAGTTCTGAGCCTTGGAGGCGCGGCGCCGCAATACATTGTGAGGAAGCCCCCCCCCGCGACTGCGCGCTTTCAGCATGACTTGACAAGAAGTCCCGCGTCAGAACGCGATTATGTGAGGAGGTCGCGGGCGGGAGCCGCTGTTCTGTAAATCGGGGGGCAGGGGCACAACCTGAGCCGCAAGACTTCCCATGGTCAAATAGCAGGGCGTGAGGCCCAGGCGGAGCACTTTAATTCACAAAAAGGCAAGAAGCGCACCAAGAGAGATCAACAATATCTTAGACATGAGAATTCAATCATTTTGAAACTGTTCGCTCCTATCAGCTCGCGAAACGTTCAACACGTATATGTCAAAAACTCTATATCCGCCTTCTTCGCATTCGATCGTGCCCCCTTTGGGGTCTACCTTCCTCACCTGCCACGCGCATTTGGCGCAAGATCTACAGGGGAGGAAAAGAGGACGTATGGACGGAAGGGACAAGGGGGAGGGAGAAGGATGGAGCATGAGAGAAGTTAACAGGAGAGAGACTACGAGCAGAAAACACGTGGCAAAACCACACGGGCAAATCGGGCGGGTAGACCCTAATGGGCAGGTCGGAAGGCGGGCCCAAGTGGCCAGGTCGAGCAGGCGGGTTGCTGAACCGTGAGTCCTTCATGCATCGGGGGGAATTCTCAAGCGATCGCGCGATCCCCACGTAAACGATGAGAAACGCCAAAGCGAGAGCGTGATTCCTGAGTGTTGAGGGCGCGGCGTCTGAATAAATGGCAAGGAGGTGCCACGCGAGAGCTCCATCCCTGCATCCATTGTGAGGAAGTCCTGCGCGAGAGCGCAATTTTGGAACACACAGTGAGGATTATCAGGCGGGGTCCGTTGTTGTTGTTGGTGTTGTTGTTGCAAGCCATGCTACAGTTGGTAAAGGTGTCACAATTTTTGTTGTTGTTGAATGCGTTTTTCTAAACAATTAGTACAGTTATTGGACACCCCAGGCGCCCTGGCGCTCTCGCCTCGGCGCCGGCAACATTTTCATTGGAAATGAGGATCACGCTCGAACGGTTTGGGGGGGCGCCAAAACCGGCCACCCAACAACAACAGCGTCCCCGCTCGAGGCTTCCTCCTTATTTGCTCAGGGCTGGTGCTCCTGCTTGCCGCTGAAGGCCGCCGTCCCAGCAAAATCAGCGCTACCGCTCGAGACTTCCTTCCGTTTTACATTTGGCTGGCGCGCTACTCTTTCTCTCATCAGCGCCGCCCCCAGCAACAACAACGCTCCCGCTTGAGACTTTCTCCCTTTTTTACTCAAGGCGGTGCTCCTCCTGGGCTGGCGCCCTACTCTCTTTTGAATTGGCACGGCTCCCAGCAAGAATAACGCTTGTGCTCGAAGTTTCCCCTCGTTTTCCTAAGGACGGTGCTGTTCCTCGCCGCCGACAGCCCCCGTCCCGACAAAACCACGGCTCCCGCTCGAGACGTCCTCCTTTTTTGCTCAGGGCCGGTGCCCCTGCTCGCCGCTGAAGGCCGCCGTCCCAACAAAACCATTTCTACCGCTCGAGACTCCCCCCCGTTTAATCTTGGACTGGCACGCTACTCTGTCTCTCATCGGCGCCGCCCCCAGCAACAACAACGCTCCCGCTCGAGACTTTCACCCTTTTCTACTCAAGGCGGTGCTCCTCCTCGCCGGCGAAAACCGCTGCCCGACAAAACCAGCGCTCCCGCCCGAGACTTCCTCCCGTTTTACGCTGGACTGGCGCCCTACACTCTTTTGAATTGGCGCCGCCCCCAGCAAGAAGAACAACGCTCCCGCTCGAGGCTTCCTCCCTTTTTCCTCAGGACGGCGCTGTTCCTCGCCGCCGACAGCCCCCGTCCCGACAAAACCACGACTCCCGGCGGAGACTTCCTCCCTTCTTACTCCAGGCGGATTTCCTCCTCGCCGTCGACAACCGCCGTCCCAACAAAACCAGCGCTCCCGCTCGAGACTTCGTGTTGCTGTTTTGTTTTACGCTGGACTAGCACCCTACTCTCTTCAGCACTGGCACCGCTCCCAGCAACAAAAGCGGCCCTGCTCGAGACTTCCTCCCTTTCTATTCAGGACCAGGTCCTTGCCTCGCCGCAGACAGCCCCCCTCCCCACCAAGGCAATCCTGTCGTTCGATACATCCTTGTGCTTTACCTTTGGCTGGGGCTCCACTGGCGGTCTCGCATCGGCGCAGCAAGGCGCGGGCATGCGTTTTCGAGGCGGGATATGTTGAAATCCCTCGGAGGAGGTGTTTGCAAGACCTCATTGGGCGGGAGATGTGGGAATGGGAATAACGGACCCCGCTATAGAACAATAATCCCCCATGATGGGAATGGTTATCATGATGGTCGCATGCTTCGTATGGACACATCGCGAATGATGGTAAAATATTTGTTGTTGTTGTTGTAAACCAGAGGCCAACAGCACAACCTCAGCCCCAAGACGCTCCCTTGTACAAAAACAGGGTGCGAGCCCCAATAATTGAACAAAACTTCAT